GAGTGAACTTTCCTGGAAAATAAGGTGCATATTTCCACTAAAATTACTGGGATTTTTTTAAAATAAAGGGGATTTTTTTTTCTGGTGGGAGGGGATAAATCCCAATGAGTTCCTCAGAGGGCAATATGTTTCCCAACACAAGAAAAGTGGCCACTCCTGTTATAAGGTATTAGCTGCCTGCCTCATTTTGTTGTTCCTTGTAGATTTAATAATCTGTATGAACACTTCATCTGTTATAAGTGTTGAATTATGCTGTACCTTGGGCAGAAGCTGTACCATCTCACTTATGATTCCTCCCACACCACTGGGATTTAGGGACTGCTAAATCGACCAAGACTTTATTATTCTACAGCTCTCCTACCTTGAGTGAATTCTGAAGCCTACTACTTTAACCCTCCTGGTTTTTTTCTACTGTTGGCGAAGAAATGGTGGAGTAGCTTCATGAAAATCCATCTTAAGCACCGAAGAACACACACACAAAAAAACCTTGTAAATACACATTTGTCAATGTTAAACGTGTGTTTCTTTCATTTTAATTATTGCATCATTTAGTGATAAATATGAAGCAGGATATTAAGCAGACAATATATAAGAAGACTCAGAGGGAAATGCACAGTCCACTTGCAGAGAGCAACAACGGGAAGGATGATAAGGTTGAATTTTAATTACAGGTTGGGACCTACTTATCATCTTTTCACAGCACACTTTTAATAAAGTGGAAGTGTGGTTTACCTAAAGGGAGCAGGATAAGGAATAAAAACCAACAATGAGAGCCAGATTTGTAGAATAGTTTTAGTAGTTGTGTGTCTAGTGTGTGCTTATTAGTATATGTCTTGTATTAGTGCACTTGTTTTAGATTTATTTTTGTTAGGTGCGGTAGCTTTAGTGTTATATACCATAAAAATCTAGGGCGTTTTCTTGTATTGTCTTTGTTTTTTCAAATATTTTTATTGCTCAATAAAAATGAATTTTAAAAGAATTTTCATTGAAGGTGTGTGTTACAAAAGAAAACTATTTAATCCTTATCACCTCTCATATACATGACTTATAAATCATCTGTTCATCTTTCACAGATGTGAATGTTGTTGGTACAGTCGAAAGAGAATACTGTACGAAAAAGAAGCATGTTTAAAACTTATAATCCATATCTGCTGTGACATCCAACCAAATACATTTATATGTATAGGGTTCTTTCCTGGGTTAAGCTGGAACAAACAATATGGAAACTATCACAAACTAAGACCATATGGAACAAAACTTTCCATCTGTATTGGGAAATTCAGCCTATAACAAAACACTGGCAGTTATTTATTTATTTATTTATTTATTTATCGTGTCATCCGCAACCAGAACTTTGTATTACATTTCTAACAGAACAAAACAAACAGATAAAAAAAATACCACACAAATTTTGCAAACTTGGTAGCTGATTAAATGTCCTTTGACCAGTATCTGGACACTTGGAGTGCCTCTGGTGTTGCCGCAAGAAGATCCTCCATCGTGCATGTGGCAGGGCTCAGGTTGCATTGCATCAGGTAGTCAGTGGTTTGCTCTTCTCCACACTCGCATGTCGTGAATTCAACTTTGTAGCCCCATTTCTTAAGACTGGCTCTGCATCTCATGGTGCCAGAGCGCAGTCTGTTCAGCACCTTCCAAGTCGCCCAGTCTTCTGTGTTCCCAGTGGGGAGTCTCTCATCTGGTATCACCCACGGATTGAGGTGCTGAGCTCTAGGTGCTCTAACTGCCTATTACAGGGAAAACCAACTGATCCCTAATCCATCTAAAACACAGACATGTGCCTTTCACCTTAAGAACAGACAAGCATCCCGAGCTCTGAGGATTACCTGGGAAGGAATCCCACTGGAGCATTGCAGCGCACCCAAATACCTGAGAGTCACTCTGGACCATTCTCTGACCTACAAGAAGCACTGCCTGAACATCAAACAAAAAGTGGGTGCAAGAAACAATATCATACGAAAGCTGACTGGCACAACCTGGGGATCACAACCAGATACAGTGAAGACATCTGCCCTTGCGCTATGCTACTCTGCTGCTGAGTACGCATGCCCAGTGTGGAACACATCTCACCACACTAAAACAGTGGATGTGGCTCTTAATGAGACATGCCGCATTATCACAGGGTGTCGCGCCCTACACCACTGGAGAAATTACACTGCTTAGCCGGTATTGCACCACCTGACATCCGCCGGGAAGTAGCAGCCAATAGTGAAAGGACCAAGGCAGAGACATCTCCAGCTCATCCCTTGTATGGGTATCAGCCAGCATATCAACGACTTAAATCAAGAAATAGTTTTCTTAGATCTACAGAGACACTCGCTGGAACACCTCAGCAAGCGAGAGTTCAAAAGTGGCAGGCTCAAACACTGGCAGTGATAAATAAACACAGCTAGTTAGCAAGCTGCAGTCACTACTTACCTGTGCCCCTGAAAGAGGACACCAATTTATGTTATATTGCATTTGATAATACATATGTACAGGTGTAAAATCAGAATTGGCATTGAAAATGTAAACAGAATTGCAATACATCTCACCCGAGTGAGCAATATGATGACAATGTGTACCTGGCAGGTCTTGTATTCAAGTGTTAAGGATAGCTGGCAACTTTCAATATTTCTGATCTTCTTTCTGGTTATCTCTAATTCAAGCTTGAACAAGATAGACCTTCAAATAAAGATTTCAAAGAAATCTTTATCTGAAGGGCTATCTCTGAAGTGTGTGATTCAGTATGGGAGAGAAGATAAAAACAGTGACAAGAGGAATCTAGAAAAATCTTTGTGGTAGCTTTATTTTAGCATGTTCTTTTTCTTTCCTAAGAGGACTTTCCTTGAAGTGCTGCTGGAGTGGCAAAATAAAGGCAGAGCTTTCTAAATACTTCATGTTGGTGACACACAAAAATTTATACTAAAGTACCTAGAGCAGTGATTCCCAAGCTTTTTTTGACCAGGGATTACTTGACCAGGGACCGCTCTCCAAAATTAATACCAAAAGGGTTACAACTTAGTTTTTACTCAAATTTAGATTTGGTCTGGGGCATTGATTCAGAAAATTGCATTGTATAGACCACATCAGCTGTAGTTTCTAATACAGAACATATGACATGGTCAGCGACAGGGAAGGAGTGGCAGGTGGCACAAAATGAGTGGAAATAAAATAAAATAAAGAAGGAGGCTCACAGACCAGATTTTCATCCTCGTGGCCCACCTGTGGGCTGCAGCCCACGGGGTAAAGAACCACTGTCTTAGAGGATGTCATCCTTCTAAGAAAATCTTCCTTTTGTGTCCATATTTCTAGCACTGCAGTAATTTGAAACTTCAGTTGAACATTTAGAAATACAATTTCAGCATCCAAAGAAAAGGGCAAATAAAATTACAATGGGAATGAGAACACACACAAGATAGGCTTTGTGTGTGTATATACACACACACAATAGATATTATTAGATAGATATAAATAGAGCACCGGGATTGTGGCGCAGCTGGCTGAGCAAGTAGAAATCCCAACATGAATGGTTTTCAATGCAGGTTGAGCATCTATTACCTGGCAAGCCAAAATGGACCCTTGGTATTCCTTGGAGTTTGTGGATACCCGCATCCATGGATGTTCAAATCTCATTATATACAATTGTGTTAGTAAATAAAATAAAATGGCAAAATCAAATTTAGTTATCTTGACTATTTTCAAATTGTAAATGGCTGAATCCATGGATACAGAAAGTACAGATATGTGTATATGTATACTGTGTATATGTGTGTGCTTGTATATATGTGTGTATATATGTGTGTAGGTGTATATGTATGTGTGTATACTGTATGTGCATATTTGTGTGTGCTTGCGTATATATGTGTGTCTGTATGTAGGTGTGCATGCATATATGTATATTTCTGTGTTTATATGTATATTGTGTTGATGTGTGTATATGCATGTGTGTATGTGTATGTATGTGTGCATGTGTATATGTATATTTCTGTGTTCATATATGTATATGTATATTGTGTATATGCGTGTGCTTGTGTATATGCATATATGTGTGTATGTATGTGTATATGTGTGTAGGTGTGTGTATGTGCATATTTATGTGTGCTTGCGTATATATATGTGTCTGTATTATGTGTGCAAGCGTATATGTATATTTCTGTGCTCATATGTGTATATGTATATTGTGTATATGTGTGTGCTTGTGTATATGCATATATGTGTGTAGGTGTGTATGTAGGTGTGTATATGTGCATATTTGTGTGTGCTTGCGTATATGTGTGTCTGTATGTATGTGTGCATGTGTATATGTGTTTATATGTGTATATGTATATTGTGTATATGTGTGTGCTTGTGTATATGCATATATGTATGTAGGTGTATATGTAGGTGTGTATATGTGCATATCTGTGTGTGCTTGCGTATATATATATATATATGTGTGTGTGTGTGTATGTGTGTGTCTGTCTGTCTGTATGTGTGCTTATGTATATGTATACGAACGTATATGTATATATGGTTTATTCTGCTGGTTTTTGGTGTGTGTTTAGGGGTCTAATAGGAGTCTTTTGTCCAAATTTGGTGTCAATTCGCCCAGTGGTTTTTGAGTTGTGTCAATCCCACAAACGAACATTACATTTTTATTTATATAGATGTGTGTGTGTGTGTGTGTATCTTTGTGTATGTTTGTGTGTGGGTGGGCTGGAGGCACACTTCAGAAATGTACCTGTACCGACTTAGATCCAAATCCAACTGAAGAACCAACCTAACTAGAGAACCCATTTGGCCTGTACCCTGCTGCGGGGGAGGGAGGGGGGGACCTTGCGCTGACGTCACGCGGCGCCCCTCCAGCCAACGACCGTTAGGCGCACGCTGCTCCCCCCTCCCTTCGGCGCTGAGGGCAATGACCGCGGCGGCGGCGGCGGCGGCGCGAGAGGCCCGGCGTCCCGCCAAGCGCGAGCCCGCTCCCTCCCCTCTCCCCCTCCCTTCTCCGGCTGCCAAGCGGCGGCGGCGGCGGCTCCTCCCTCTTGGCCTGGTGCCGCGTGCGAAGCGGGGAAAGGGAAGGCGGCGGCGGCGGCGGCGGAAGCAGGCGACCAGCGGCATCCTCTCCTCCTCCTCTTCCATCCCTCGCCGGCCGCCGCCTGCTGAGGAGCCGCTGCCGCTCTCCCTCAGCCCCCTCATGACGGTTTGGTGCTGCCGGTGCTCCCTGGGCAGCCACTTCAGGTGAGGAGACCCTGCCCCCCCCTCCCCCCGTCGAAACAATGGGTTCTTGGCTTTGTGCTTCTACGTATCCATTAGATATAGATTATATATATGTCCTTTCTCCTTCCTTCCTTTCCCCTTCCGGCTTCTCTTCATCTTCTCAGTCGCCGGAGGGATGTGGAGGGAAAGGCATGCGGGCGGGCGCCGAAATCAAGAACGCGAGTCTTTGGGAAGACCCTTGAAGGGTGAACGAGGGACCTGCGTGGGCGGGCGGAAAATTTTTAGAGCAGAATAGAGGATGAAAGCCTGAAAGAGTCTTCTGTGTTAGGTGATTGGGATGGATGGATGGACCAAAGGAAGGAAGGAAGTGTGGTATGCGCTCATCTCCTCTGAAGGCCTTTCCACACAGCTGAATGAAATCCCACATTTTCTGCTTTGAGCTGGACTCCGATAACCCAGTTCAAAGATACGTTGGGATTTCCTGCATTGATATTCTGGGTTATATAGCTATGTATAGGGCCCCCGGTGGCTCAGTGGGTTAAAGCACTGAGCTGCTGAGCTTGTTGATGGAAAGGTCGCAGGTTCGATTCCGGGAGGCGGCGTGAGCTTCCGCTGTCAGCCCTAGCTTCTGCCAACCTAGCAGTTCGAAAACATGCAAATGTGAGTAGATCAATAGGTACCGCTCCGGCGGGAAGGTAACGGCGCTCCATGCAGTCATGCCGGCCACATGACCTTGGAGGTGTCTACGGACAACGCTGGCTCTTCGGCTTAGAAATGGAGATGAGCACCACACCCCAGAGTCAGACATGACTGGACTTAATGTCAGGGGACTACCTTTACCTTTACCTATAGCTATGTAGAAAGGCCCTTAAAGGAGACTTGTAGTGTTTTCTGAGAGGCCTAGAGAGAAAGAGAGGGGGGGCCCTTCCACATAGCCTTATATCCCAGAATATCATGGTAGAAAATCACAAAATATCAGCTATGAACTGGGTTATCTAGGTCCACACTCGGATAATGTGGGGTACTACTCACGATCCCACCGGCATCACAAGCACGATTGGTGGGGACGAGGGATAGGGCTTTCTCGGTGGTGGCCCCTCGACTCTGGAACTCTCTCCCTAAGGACATCAGGCAAGCCCCAACACTGGCAATTTTTAGGAGGAGCTTGAAAACGTGGTTGTTCCAGTGTGCCTTCCCAGAATAAGGAAACTCCAAGCATTTTGTCCCCAACACACTTTATCAGAGATTCAGGATATCTGCAAACCCATCCCTCTCCAAACACCTACCCTTTTCTCCTGGTCATGCCCAGCACTTTTTAATTTTAATTATTACATTTGGCCCTGCCATAGTTTTTAATTGCGTCATTGTGTGTTGTTAATGTTATTGCTTTGTTTTTGATTTATTTTGCTGTATTGTTGTTGTTTTATTGTTGTATTTGGACTCGGTCTCTTGTAAGCCACACCGAGTCCTTCAGGAGATGGTAGTGGGGTACAAATAGAGGTTTCTTATTGTTATTATTATATTGATATTCTGGTATATAGGGCTGTGCGGAAGGGCCCAGAGATGCTTTCCAAAGGTCTTCATCCAAGTCTGTATTTTAAGATGTGGCAAATCACTTAAAATAAGGTTTTTATGCTGAATGTTTTATATTGTGAAATGCTATTTTAAAGTGTAAGTAGCTCGGAGCACCTTCATGGAGAGCGACTAATTAAGAAATGAAGTGAAGTGAAGAAAATACAGGTAGCAAAGTAAGTGAATACGGAATAAAAGACTTTCAGGGCCGCTGCCTAATTAGCTACGCCAAACACACACACCACAACTAAACTATCGCAAGGCATCCTTTTATCATTACTGACAGCCTCATCTGCATCACTTGGTCCTGTTTCAAATTTTCATGCAAATAAAGAAATGGGACTAAAATAGATATGCATTATATTTCTTTATTTGAGAAATTTATATCCTGCCTTTCTCTAAGCACAGACCCAAGGCAGTTAACAACAGAATAAAAACCTACAATACAAAGTTAAAACAACCCATTAAAACATACATATTTGAAACAGCATTGTGTATATATGTGTGTGTGTGTGTATTTGTTATATGTTGCATATCAACTATATTCCCATTTCTTAGTATACATATGAATATGTATTGTAGTTTGCAAGTGTGTTATGTGTTGGATATCTACTTTAATCCAATTTCTTCATATGTGTAAGATATATCATAATGGGATTTTGAAGATCAGTTTCTATAGTCAGCCCTTGGTATCTGCTTGGGTTTGGCCCTGTAGATACTGAAATCTATGGGTGCTTAAGTCCCATTATATACAAAGGCGTAGTAAAATAAGTTCCCTTATATAAAATTGCAAAATCAAGGATTTAATTTTTTTTAAAATCAAGCCATGGATAGTTGGCTCTGTAGATGCAAAATCCATGGATACAGAAGGTCGACTGTACTTAACTTCTGGAAATGCCTCATGATGGCATCATGAAATTCATTCATGAGATTACTGAGTGGCTTGTAGTCATCCAGGCATTGATCATTCTGCATATGCTTCAATTCAGTAATGTTGCTACCTTGTGAGTCTTCCACGATAATAACCTCCATCCACTCTCAAATAGATTTTGATTAAATATTATCACTATAACTTTAGATGGTAATGAAATAAAAAATAACAAAAACATGTTTTTCTTATTAATTGTGAAAAGGGATAGGATCAGAAACTTTCACAAAAAGATTACTCAGCAAGGATCTTTAAGTAATATAATAACATAGGGCCATAAGTTATTTTCCCTTTGTCCTGACCAAGCTTTCTGACAAACGTCAATACTTTTATGTGCCACAGAATCCCAATAATTTCAAAACCAACTTGTTTGTATGTTTATAGTTTCAGAAAGTATTTCGACAAGTGGTAGTGGGATGTCTATCTGATGTGAATCTTCAGTTAAAATCAATATTAATAATTATTTTAACAGCCCAGTACAGTTCATACCTGTGAAAATTTATATCAAAGACTAAATTATATTGTTGGGATAGATCTCATAGGGATCTAGATGTCATACAAGAACATATGATGTTACCTCATACCATTCAGCTACCTCATAGACATTGGTTTTTCAGGTTTCCTTCCTATTCCTACATGGATATCCCTGGTAGTTCTATGATATGTCTAAGCTAAGTATTTATCAGGCCTGATCCTGTTTTACTTTTTAAATCAGATGAGACCGAGTATACGCTAAAAGATGGTAAAACAGAACAAGGGTTTATGGCAATTTCAGTATAATTCAGTTCATTTTTTTGAAGTTTTGGTTATGCTATAAATGCTGCTGGTATTAAGTATAAACAGAGTACTGAAATATTTAGCAGGGTTGGCCTTCAAGTTATTTCTGATTTATGGAAACCCTAAGGTTATCATTGACAAGATTTGTTCAAGGGAAGAATGCCTTTGCTTCTCTCTGAGGCTAGAAGGGAGCGACTTGCTTAAGGTCACCCTGCGAATTTTCATAACTGAGTAGGGATTTCAAACTCGGTCTCCAGACTGTCTCACTAGCTGCCAGTACAGTCTTGCTCCAATCAGCAACTTGTAATAAGCAATTATAGTTTAAAAACAGTTAGACCAAAGTTGCCTTACATTAAATTCTGAGAGCACACACATATTCTTCCGGGAACATGTAGATAAATGTGTGGTAGTAATAACAGACTGGTTTAATGCCAATGTAATACTATTAATACTGGATATTAATGCTATGATGTCAATAGTAAGAAGAGGAAAAAATATGTTGAATCAGGCCAAAGAGCTATCTAGCCCTTCACACTGCTGTCCATAGTGACCAACCTGATACCTCAAAGTCTCAAAATACTTTATTTCATATCCTGCCCTTTGTCATAAAGATAGAATGACTCTTTGTCATTTACATTTTTAATTCCTTACTGTAAAGTTCTTTATATCAAGCTTTACAATTCACAAATATATTCCCTATTATAATTTACTTAGCAAAAATGGAGAAAATTTTTAGAAATGTGCAGGTGTTGTAGTTTCAGCAAAGTTTTAGTTTACTTCAGCTTTTAGTCGGATTTGTTTCATTAGGATATTGAAGGCACTGTGGTCTGCATACAGCTTAGCACCTACATTCAAGAGAGAGATCCTATTAAAGATGATTATCAACATTGTTTGTGAAGGAAATGCACAGGTGTAACATAGGAGGAAGTAAGACAAACAATAAAAAAAGCACCCCTAGTTTGGTAGAGAACAGCTGCTCTTGCCATCTTCCTCTTTAGGTAAATCCAACAGCTCTTCACATATAGAAATCTGTCTGATCTTGTTGTATCCAAAAGAAAAGAAAGTCAGACCTGTGAAGTTTTACTGGAAAGTATTTTGTAATGAAGTGAATTAGCATATTTTCTGAAATCGCTCATGACCCAGATAGTCGACAGAAGGTAAAGAAGCAATTGCATTATAAAATTATTCATGGTTTCTTTTCTTTTCTTTTCTTTTACTATGGATGTGTCTATGGCAGTATTTATATCCATGCAACCCATTGTTTGTTCTAAATTGGATCTGTGTCTAGCTGCAGATAAGCATATTTCATGCATGAATGACATCTGGACAAATTTGAGTGTCAAGAAGGCAGGCTGCTTGATTTTAGGGTAGTTGTTTAAATTATTATCCGGGAGAGGACAATGCTTGAGGTTGATATGCTAACACTAAGGGCTTCTCAGAGGCAAGTCTTAGTGTCAAAATGTATACTTAAAATGTGTTAGGGGATTGATAGGCAACACCACCAGTATTCATAGCTAGCAGATTCTTGGACTGTAGAAGCTCCTGGAAAAATGCTTTAGATGATGCAATAAGTCATAGATCCCCCGGTGACACAGTGGGTTAAATTGCTGAGCTGCTTAACTTGTTGACCGAAGGGTTGCAGGTTCAAATCTGGAGAGCAGCGTGAGCTTCCCCTGTTAGCTCCAGCTTCTGCCAACCTAGCAGTTCGAAAAATGCAAATGTGAGTAGATCAATAGGTACCGCTCCGGTGGGAAGGTAATGGCGCTCCTTGCAGTCATGCCAACCACATGACCTTGGAGGCATCTACGGACAATGCCGGCTTTTCGGCTTAGAAATGGAGATGAGCACCAACCCTCAGAGTCGGACACGACTGGACTTAATGTCAGGGGAAAACCTTTAACTTTACTATAAATCATACTTTTATGAGATTAATTCCTAGATGTTTTGAAATCGATTTATACTTTCTCCTTTGAAAATATTTGTCCTTTGTGCATTGTTCCTGTGAAGTGAATTTATCATTTCTCAGTAAGGCTTTCATGGTTGGGCTCTCATTATAGTGGAGCCCTCCACTGGTGAAAGGAGGTTGGCTGATTTTAACAATTTACTTCTACATCTTGCTCACCATTGTCATGTCCTGCATTGACTCCAAGACCTTTCTAAAAACAAAATGAATACTCCCATTCACAAAAAAGGAAAAAGAAATATACCTTTAAAAAAAAAAGGCAGTTTTATCAGAACTTGCTGGGTTCGTACCAGCAAGACAAATATAAAGGAGAAATAGTCTGTCCTTTCTCTTTCAGTCTTCCCTGTGTCCCTGTATCCCAGCATTGGAAGGCTAAGGGCCACAGATCTTTCCATAGTTTCCAGGCGGGAAAATTTAAGATCAAGGGTCTTGCCTACCTTTGGAGGGAGAAATGTATTTTCTGCAGCCTTCAGGGTGCTATTCTAGGATCCATAATACTGTATTATATTTTAAATGTTTAATCTTGTACATGTACATATTAGGTTCCCTTATGTGAGATGTTTTTGGATTTTTTAAATTTGCATATATACAGTGAATTAGAGAATGGGGAAAGGGGGTAGTGATATGTCCAGTGCCTGCTGCGGCTTTCCTCAAGAACTATCAGCATAGTTTCTACCCTTTTAGCAAGGTAGCCAGGAAAGAAATAGGAAATCCTCTCCCCCTCCCCCAATTCCCCCCATGGTTTGTTTATTTTAAATTTTTCTCTGGGCTGGATACATGAGGTGGCAAATAAAGTCACTCCATGCTCACCTTCACAAGCATTTTCAAGGCACCTACTCTGCCTCATGCCACTTTTTGCCAGGAAGAAGGCAAGCATGGAAATATCTGAGATGTTTGCTTTTTACAAAGGCCTTGTATAAGCAGTGTCCTCTGCTTCCTCATAAGAGCTCATTGAGGAAAAACTCACTGGGTAAAGGATGTATAGCTAGTCCCTTTCCTTCAAAGACAGAAATGAGCAGCTAGATGCAAAAAGTTTCAGGTTTTGGAATATTTTAGATTTCTAGACAAGGGTCACTGAACTTGCAACATTAATCGTGACATCATTTCAGGCAATTTATTACAATAGAAAACTTTCTGAGACTAAAACTGTGTCCTCTATGGTTTTGTAGACAGACTACCATGGACCAAAGAAGCTATTTTTATCTTATGGGGCAATTAAATAGCTATATCTATTCAGGGAAAGCCATGGTGGATTTGCAGGCTTGCATGAACTAATTAGTATGTTCTTTTACTTAATTATGATTGTTTTCTTTGCTTCCTATTTCATATAAAGGCAATGATTTAACATCCACTTAATTTTATTAAGGTTATACTGCAATCCTGAAGTAATTTGTTTCTCTTTATTAGAAACTATTGTAGCTCTGAACCTGAAGGACGCTTTTTGAATTCATTAGTGCAGTATTTTGGTGACAACCTTGGGACAAATGTTAAAACAATGCCCTTGTTAGAAGAAACTACTCTGCCTGTGGACCCACCACTGACTTTGCCAATGGTGATAATAGGTAAGTTCTCACATGATTAAGATATAGTAGTATTCATGTCACAACCTTGTTTTATGTTGGTTTGCTTACTAAATTTTGATTCCTTTGTTAACTCATTATCCTATTGTACTGATATACTAGGATTAGAGTATCCTGGTGATTTTAGCTTAACCCCAGTTGTCAGTCTCAACTAGAATAAATTCACAGAATAGTGAGAAACGAGTAAATCTGCTTATGGAGTTTCCATTTGTGGATCCACACTCATTGGAACTGACAGTTGCCACATTGGGGGAAAAATACTGGGAACTGCTTTAGTTTATTTCATGTAATAGAATAACTGATCTAAAGAAGATTAGGTGTGGTTAAGCTATCAAAATACCACCCTAATCAAGAATACATTAAGATACCAGCACACCCATTAGACTATATTGATTATTAAAGTCCAATAGGCATGAAGCTTTTCTGTTAAGGACTTTTCATAATGTAGGAGCAGGCCACCCAAATTCACTTCAGTGCAATATCTGTTTGCTGCTTTCATGTTTTTAATTGACTTTATATTGCTTTACATATTGATGATTTAATATGGTAGCTTATTTAATTGTTTTTAAAACGTGTTACAATTAGTTTTAAAATAAATGATAATTCATTATCTATTATTTCAGCTAGCCCCTTCCTCCCAAGCCTGATTTTCTGTTCCCAGAAGAATTCTAGGCATATGTTTTCTTACTGTATAATCTCCAAATCAGCCTCTTGTACAATAAATACTTGTAATTGACAAGTAGAGAATAAATACTGAGGTGCTCTGGGTCACAGCAAGTGATAAAACTGATAAGTTCATGTTTTATCTGAAGCCTATTTATTTATTTAATATTCCACCTTCCTCACAATATAAAACAACAAAAAAACAAATATCCCTTTTCCCACAATATGTTTCCCACAATATGTAGGATCCGAGGAGGAGAAGTCTTTTACTCTTTGGCCATTTTTCTATTCCTTGACAACTTCTCAGGCTGCTTTGTGAGACCAGGAAAAGCGGCTTGGGAGCCTAATTTGCAAAGGAGAAACAGATGGTGGAAACAACTTTCTTATGCTCCATATTTAGAAACTAGAAAAATATCTCTAATTGGGGGACTCGGCTTCTTAAGATCATTAAACAGAAATGTCTTTTTTTCAGTGTGGAGGTATGTTGCCATTAAGAGGTCCTCCCATGTCTTAGTATTACCTTGATTGTATGAATCCCCCCCCCCCCCCAATTGTATTATACCCAAGTATATTTCATTCATTAAGTTTGCTTCATTCTGCTCAAAGACTTCATAAAGTGTCATTGTAGGAGTTTGGCAATTTTCATGATATCTTTTTTTCCCCCATTAAAAACAAACAGGTAATGGACCTTCAGGAATTTGCCTTTCTTACATGCTCTCTGGATATAGGCCATATTTATCTCCTGAAGCAGAGCATCCAAATCTTATTTTGCACAATAAATTAAAAGAAGCCAGTCACCTCTCTCTTGTTGATCAGGTAAGTCCTGCTAGTCATGTCTTAAATCTTTAAAATATTCTTAACATTCAGTTAAGGCAAAGCATTTGATCCCTGAAGTTATGAAATTATCTATTTCAAGATATCTGTTTGAGGTTAGTACTTGGGAGTAAAATGAATTACAGTCTCAGTCTAGAAAGAATAAATGTATTCATATTCCTATGACAGCCTTAGTGGAAAAAAAAACAGTCTGCTTTCCACATATTTGAATTATGTATGATGTAGTTTCAAGAATGGAGTACACCACTTATTTTTGATGATACGCATCATGCATTATAACATAAAGTGGTCTGATCTGGCGCTGTCTCTAGTACCCACCCACAAATCTTTCTGGTATTTATTTCACCAAACCTGATAATTAATATAGAAATTGCATTTGATTAACATAATAGTTAGAATACTTTTATTTATTATTCTGTTTAAAGGATTTTCTTAAGGTCTAGTATGGTTCAGTGTATTGTTTTCATTAGTCATGCAACATCCCTTCTGTGAATAATTTTAATTATAGTGGGCTCCACTGATCTTGCCAGAGATACCAATAAGAGTCTGTCCAAACTATCCTCATATACTATATATGTAAAATCTTGTTTCCATTAAATATATCTAAGAAACCTGAAAAGGCTACTGTTAATCAAGTTGATTTGTGCTTGTCGAGATTAGGACACCCAGGAGGTAAAATGGTTAACAACCAGTGATATCTTGAGACGTCATCTGGTAAATCTGTATTAATACCATCAAAGCTGAGAAGCAGAAAGAGCTTACATCCTTAGAAAGTTTTCCAGTCAAGATTAAGAATGTGAAGCAAAACTAAGATATGAATCAGTCATTGTATTAAAAAATGCAGAAAGTTAGCAGTACATGGACACAAGTGGTTCAGAGAACTTGTGAGATTTATATGTCTTGGAGGCAGAAGAAACTGATAAGAAGAATAAAGCAAAGGTTTTGCTTTGCATCAGTTTTTATTCTGCAGATAGACAACATGGCTATTTAAAACTGCATTTTCCAATTAGGATTTGGAGTATTTTGCTGAAGGCCTAGAAGGACGCTCTTCGAATCCTGTCGCAGTTCTCTTTGACACATTGCTTCATCCTGATGCTGACTTCGGATTTAACTATCCATCTATTCTTCACTGGAAACTTGAACCACAGCACTATATCCCTCATATAGTGCTTGGCAAAGGGCCGCCTGGTGGGGCTTGGCATGTGAGAAAAACTTTAATTCCTATTATTTAGAATGTTATTGTTGTTGTTATTATTATTATTAGAGACCATTGGCTTTTCTATCACTGTGAATATTTGGCTATAAATAGCTAGAACTCTCTGTGTTAATGTATTTTCTACTGGGGCAACATAAGAACTACATGCATGTCTGATTTCATGCCTCTTCATGCCCCAATACTGAATTTCAGCAGCCTTGCCTTTAGGATTTGTCGTTTAAACAAAGCATGCTAGGAATGTACATTCTATTTGCAAGCTGATTAACACTTCCACGAGTCCTCTAGGAAAGCTAAATCAGCTTGAAAACAGGGCATGCACTCCCTCCATGCCTTGGTTGAAAGATAATTTTACCCATCACAGTGAAATTCAGCAGCCTGGTAAGAGGTGGAAGACTGCCATTGTGCCCTGAATTCATTCATAGTAATTCTTGCTATACACCATACAAGGCTCCCGATAGCTTCTGATTCCTGTAGAAAAATACAAAAATACCTCTGTTGACCAAGTAAATGTGTTCCTGGGCATTCGTTCTTTTACTGAAATTTTGGTACTGGAGGCAGAAATAAGATAGAATGCCACAAAAAGAAAAGATTAGTTCAGCATGTTTTAAAAACTTTTCATTCAATATGAGCAGTATTCATATGTGAAATGAAATGTCCGTATTGGGCAGTCTCTGTTTTTGTAAACAAAAACATTTGGAATCTTCTTGAGAACATCTGAAGGATTCTTCCAAAATGCATGCAGGTATTTACTGCAGCTGCAGCTGGTGATTGACCTTTGTGCTAAAGCCGGCCCTAATGGAGATATGCCTATATAGCACATAGCATTTATCAAAAATGGAAGCCTGAAATCCTTTTTTTTAAAGCCGCCATCTTGCATAAACACAGGAAAATGGTGTCCACTAGGCCTGGGTAACAACGCAAAAATTTGTTTCTAAAATCGATTTGTAATTGGGGTGTTTTTTTGTTTCGATATTTAAAATAATTACAAAATTTTCCCTTAAAAAAGTTCGGTATTTACGAAATTTCGTAAATATTTACGAATTGATTCGTTAAGATGGCGGACCCCCGCGCATGCGCAAAATCACTTCCGAAGCTTCGTTATTGGCGCGGGGTCGATTCGTTAAGGTTATAACGAATCGATTCGTTAAAACGGCGGACGCGATTGCGCATGCGCAAAAGCGACTTCCGAAACTTCGTTTTTAAAAACGAATCGATTCGCTATTAAACTAATAATGAATCGATTCGTTAAAATGGCGGACGCGATTGCGCAATGCAAATGCTCTATAAACAAAATCATTTCATAAAATAAATCAAATAAAATAATCAAATAGAACAAGATATTAAGATATTAAATAAAAAAGTAATAAGATAAAGTATCCAAAACTGAGTCAATTTAATAATATAATGAAATAAACAATAATATAATAATAAAATTTAAATAAATAAAATAAATAATAATAATAATAAATAACAATAAATAATATAAAATTATATAATATATACAATATAATATAATATATTATTATATATATTATATAAATGAAATTAATAATAATATAAATATTTAAATAAAATATAATTAAATTTATAAAATATTTATAAAATATAATTATAAATAATATTAATAGAAATAATATATAAAATTAAATTATAAATTATTAATATATAAAAATAAAGTTATTATAAAAACTTAGAAAGTAAATATAAGAAATAAATAAAGAAAAAGTAACAAAAAGTAACAGAAATTGCACTTTGAAAAAACTCTGAAAATTATCTGGGAAGTATTGCATACACATACTAATTTCTGTAGCAGTATTGCAAGTTAAGTAAGAAGGACCAACTTCACATTTGGGGGTGGTGTATCTTAATGTGCATCCTTAGCCCTGTTGTGGCAAGATGCCTCATATCTTTTCCTCTGCTGACGCTCACACCGCAATGCCTGCAAACTGCCAAAGTGGCCCTCTCATTATGGACGTCGTAATGATCCCATAGGAGCGATCTCGGCCTACCCCTACTAGGCACTTCAGATCTACTCATGCTCGTGTTTGGACTGTCGGTGTTTGTGGAAGGGAGTATAATCGTTGGTTGTTTCTGTAGCTCGCCCTCCATCAGCATGCAGTCCTCTTGATCACTAATTCCTGTGGTGGAAGCACATTCCATCTTGTCTTCCTCCCATTCCTCTGACACGTCCGCCTCCTCGCCCTCCTCTTCATAACAAGTAATATCAGAGGTACTTGGAACGACATCAGGATCTGAACGTAGAGTCTTTCGAACTGATGAAGAAGAAGGTTCTGCCATCTCACAGCTGGTTGAAGCATCTGTGGGTGTTTCAATAACCATCTCGTTGGATGAATGTTCCCTTCTTGTCAATGTATTCATCTTCAGTCCCCTGCCTTTCTTCGGTATTCGCGATAGCACTTGGCCCTTGCGACTAGAAAAGCCGGGAAGGAAGCGTTTCATCACACTGGTTGGAACTACACAAATAATGAGCAAAAGGAGCGCACTGGTTGGAACTACACAAATATGAGCGAGCACTGTATTATAGCACTTTGTGTTGGCAAAAGGAGCGCACTGGTTGGAACTACACAAATGAGCGAGCACTGTATTATAGCACTTTGTGTTGGCAAAAGGAGCGCACTGGTTGGAACTACACAAATGAGCGAGCAGTGTATGTAGCACTTTGTGTTGGCAAAAGGAGCGCACTGGTTGGAACTACACAAATGAGCGAGCAAGCACTGTATTATAGCACTTTGTGTTGGCAAAAGGAGCGCACTGGTTGGAACTACACAAATGAGCGAGCACTGTATTATAGCACTTTGTGTTGGCAAAAGGAGCGCACTGGTTGGAACTACACAAATGAGCAAGCACTGTATTATAGCACTTTGTGTTGGCAAAAGGAGCGCACTGGTTGGAACTACACAAATGAGCGAGCACTGTATTATAGCACTTTGTGTTGGCAAAAGGAGCGCACTGGTTGGAACTACACAAATGACAAACGCACACACAGCCACTGAAGACTCTTTTATTTTTTTAGAATATTTTTTGTATTTTTTTAAGAATAAAAGACAGGTATTTTTAGAAAATATTCAGAAATGGAAAATTAACCAAAAACTGGCCCTGATGTGGACCAAACACAGCCACGAGACAGGGCAAACGAGAGCACACAGCAACAGAAGAGTCTTTTCTTTTTTTGGAATATTTTTGGTTTTTTTTTAAGAATAAAAGACAGGTATTTTTAGAAAATATTCAAAAATACTTAAAAATGGAAAATTAACCAAAAACTGGCCCTGATGTGGACCAAACACAGCCACGAGACAGGGCAAACGAGAGCACACAGCAACAGAAGAGTCTTTTCTTTTTTAGAATATTTTTTGTATTTTTTTAAGAATAAAAGGTATTTTTAGAAAATATTCAAAAATGGAAAATTAACCAAAAACTGGCCCTGATGTGGACCAAACACAGCCACGAGACAGGGCAAATGAGAGCACACAGCAACAGAAGAGTCTTTTCTTTTTTTGGAATATTTTGTTTTTTTTTAAGAATAAAAGACAGGTATTTTTAAAAAATATTCAAAAATGGAAAATTAACCAAAAACTGGCCCTGATGTGGACCAAACACAGCCACGAGACAGGGCAAACGAGAGCACACACCAACAGAAGAGTCTTTTCTTTTTTAGAATATTTTTTGTATTTTTTTTTAGAATAAAAGACAGGTATTTTTAAAAAATATTCAGAAATGGAAAATTAACCAAAAAAAAGAATGAATCCAAGCAAGGAATAAGCACTAAGCAGCAAGGAATGAATCCAAGCAAGGAATGAGCAAGGAATGAATCCAATCCAAGCAGTTGCAAGCCAACCCAATGCAAACCCTCCCGGACCTCTTCTCTTCTCCCTCGCCTCTGCAGCAATGAGCTGTACGGCCGCGCGGAGCCGCTTTTAAAGGGCTTGCCGGCCAATCAGAAACAGCCACGGTGCACTGCTTGGGTGCTTGGGAGCGCCGGATTGGCTCCCAGGGCACCAGCAGCCTCCATCCCATTTACGAAACGGGCGGAAGCTCGTTAAAAGTATGGGGGATGCCGTTTCGTTATTTTAAAACCCTTCCGGGTTTGAAAATGTGTTTTGTAATCGTTTCGTAAATGCTAAAAATAACGAATATTTAACGAATTACAAAATTAACGAACGAAACCGCCCAGGCCTAGTGTCCACACATTACAGGCCAGGGAGAAAATGTAACATACAATGATGTGTGGTATCTTTTGTGTTCAATTTTGAAATGAATCTTCAGGTTTTTATTACTGAATAAGTCGAATGATATTACCTTAGCAAATTCTAGAATGCATGTTATCCTTTTTTTCCCCACAGTCAATGGAAGGTTCTATGCTGACCATTAGCTTTGGAGACTGGATGGAATTACCTGGATACACATTTAAAGACTGGGCCTCTAATAAGCGAAGGTGAAGATAGTGTCCTATTACAATTTCTAGGGATGTGGGGGAGGGTATCAAAAACAGTAAGTAACTCAGATAAACATCTTTATTATGGCATGGGCTTTCACAGTCTAAATTCTACTTCTTTATATGCCTAGGAAGTAATTTGTTTTCTCGGTGAAAAGTAAAAGTAAAAAATTTCAGTGTTTGTATTTCCACCCCTGCAAAAGTGGAAAAACTGAATAAAACAATCCACTATATATTACCTAAGGGGAACACCTCTCTATGAATCTCTTTGTTTTCCATCACAACTCTACAGTTTTCTTCTGGTGGAAATTGACCATAGAATATCTACGGATGATCTAGAAATGTCTAGAATGTGTTCTCCAGAGCAACTCTATGATAGAAATTGATCATAAAGTCACATTGGAGGATCTAGAAATCATAGATATGAATCAAATCCATCGATTAATCAAATCATTTCCAATTCACAGTGGACCATCATAGCAACATAGCTTGTTGCTTAAATTAAGAAATTATTTTTTAATTCATGAATTAGATCAAAGGGGCTTTTTTTCAAGTCTGGCAAGTCAAAGTGCTGATGGAGGAAGTAGAGCACAAGATGAATAGCCATCAGCTTCTTCCCATAGCATTTCCTAAAGTTTTAAAATCTTACCTTGCCTCAAGTAGTGTTTTGGAGAATTTAGTGATCTGTTTACATTTTGTGCTTCTAAAAATTAATTTATGAAAGACAGCAAAATCTGATGTACAGGTTATGAATACATTCTCTGATCAAATGTAAACAAAACAGAAATGTTTACATTTACGAGGAGAGTACAAAGGGTATGAATAAATTATGAATAAATCTATCCCTTTTTAAAGATTACAACTTCTAAATCTTTTTTAGTAACTTAATTCCTGTAAGCTTCTCAGAAGGATGTGTATGTTTAGGTTCATCTGTTGTCCACTTACATGTTTATTCTCCTTTATGAAATACTAGACGTGCTTATTTGGAAATTCTATATAGGAAATGTTGTGATTCAAATCATTTTATGCAGTATGCTTTCTCTGCAAATTTCAGTTGCACAGAACAGCATTATTTTGCTATTTTGCATGTTTGTACAGATGGCAGTATAATTGCTTTTATCATAAGAAGCATTGTTCATAGGAGAGCTTCACAGAAACAATTACTTGAAAATGTATTAATACCAGTTCACTTGTCATTCTTAAAAACATTATCAAATTTTGCTAATAATGAGCCCTATTGGATGAAATCATCAATATCTGGCGGCCTCTTTGTGACATCTTTTAGATTTATGAACATGATCAATTTTGGATTTCAACCCAAAAAAGGCGCCTATTTATTTATTTATTTACATTTATATGCCGTCCTTCTCACCCAGAAGGGGACTCAGAGTGGCTTACAAGTAAAAAGTAAATACAATATATTATATTATCACCATTACTAAATCATTATGCACTAAAAATAACATGTAGTTAGTTCTCAATTTCAGTATAGCATACATATTGGAATATGTATTTCTAAATGAAATTGAAGAAAAGCTGTATAATTACATTTGGAACTAGCAGTACAGCTTCTGGAAAAATGTTCAGACTGCAACTATGCCTAATTATTTTTGAAATTCAGGAAATAGAGTATCTAAAAGAGCATAGATCCACATTGATGGTTGCTCAACAAAAGTGCATGCACTTTTGAATATATAGGTTAATAGTGAATTGAAAGCGGGTGGTGTGGTGGTTTTTGTTTTGGACTACAGCTCATGAGACTAAGGTTTGAATCCCTGCACAGTCATGGAAATCCACTGGGTGACCTTAGACAAGTCACAATGACAGACTGAATTTATACCATGAAAACTCCATGATAGATTCTTTTTATTGTCACCATAAGTCAGAAGTTACCTGATGGCACATAACAGCTATAGCGGATTATTAATAGGTAATTGTATTTTTGTTTAGTATGTCTACTGTGCGATAGCAATTAAACAATAGGTAGATACAGTCAAAAATGTCAACTTCCTCACTGTGATACAAATATACTGTTACCATTTATCTCCAGCCCTTACAGATACTTATGTATATTTCGAAGTATTGATTTGAGACAAACATAAGACTTGTCAAAGTAAAGCAAGCACTCACCACCTCTCTTATTGACAATAAAATGTACTTAAGTGCCTGTACGTACTGAAGATAAATGCAAAATGAGAGTAAGTAATTATCTTGAGAGGGGTGCAATACTTAGATGTCTTAAAAGTCTGCACTGTTTATCAGTGTCTTCCTCCACCCCCAACTTGGAAACTTCTAATTTGGAAATTATGGTGATAGCTTTGAATAGACAATGGTCTTGGACCAGGTAAATATCTGTGGGTCCATAATATTCATTCATGGTTTCAGAATGAACCACAAGTCAACAAATTTTGTTGCTTTGTTTTATTTCAGGACATTCTGTATGCTGGCTTTATTTATTCATTTTAAAAAGAACGCCCTTGGCCGTAGTTGTTTTAACCAAGGAATATTATCATGTTTTTCTGTTCCTATTAGATAGTCCTGTTGGTAATGGGATTGAATTGCTCTTTAAGGTGTTGACAGTGGTTTTCAGACTTCTGTTTTTAATCCTGGCTAAGCATTCTCATTAGAATTATTAACGAACTGTTTTGTATTGCTAAAATAGGACTGGGAGAAGGGGGTGGCATTCTCAATTTGCAGCCTGCTTCACCCCATCCCAAATGATGCCAAACATTAGCATCATTGGGAGGGGTGATGGTAAAATATCTTTTGTAAATTACATTATGGGAGGGGCGAGTAGAAAGTCTGTGAAATAGTGTCGCTACCTTTTGAAACTGCCCATGCATTCCCTTCCTGTCCCCCTCATGCTTTGAAAATTGCTGTCCAATGTATGAAACAGTAGCCAGCAATTACATTTGGTAATAGATTATCCCTATTACAAATGTATCAGCTGGGGTACTATTTTTGGGGAGACATAATGTTTGCAAGCTCAAGTAGTTTGGGATGTTACTTCTAACCTAGTATGAACAGTGGAAATATTTCAAGAAATAAATAAATATTGAAAGCCTTTTCTTTCAAAGCCAAAAACTTTGCCCTTCCAGTCTGCAAGTGATAGTACAATTACATTAGAGCTGAGGGTGGTGTACCGTCTTGAGTATGATAACCAGATATCTGGTCTTTTTTTTTCCAGAAATATAAAGTGTGACAGAGTTCTGCCCGAAGAAATTGCTAGCTACTACAAGCACTATGTTAAAGTAATGGGCCTACAAAAGAACTTCAGAGAGAACACCTACATAACATCCGTATCAAGACTCTACCGGGAACAAGATCCAGAAGATGAAAGCCAAGTGACCAAAGATGCTTTGCCACAACATTTGCTGCTGGAAGAGCAAGGTGGGCAGATTACACCTGTCAGGAGAAACTGGGAAGTCAGAGGGTATCAGACGGCAGCAGATGGGTCTCATGTGCCATTCTGCTTGTTTGCTGAGAATGTGGCTCTTGCCACTGGGACCTTTGATGCTCCTGGGCGGCTCCAGGTTGACGGAGAAGACTCCCCCGTTGTGCTCCATTCAATATCTGAGTTTGGAGCAACTATCAACAAAGGAATATTACGTGGAAAACCTGACCCCGTTTTAATAATTGGCGGTGGACTTTCAGCAGCCGATGCAGTTCTGTGTGCTTACAATAACAGTATCCCTGTAGTACACGTATTCCGTAGGAGGGTCACTGACCCAAGTTTAATTTTCAAACAGTTGCCTAAAAAGATTTACCCAGAGTACCATAAGGTATATCATATGATGTGTACTCACTCAGTTACTACGGACTATAATTTACACTCCGCCTATACCAGTTTTCCTGAACATCGAGTACTTTCATTTCAGCCAGATATGAAGTGTGTCCTTCAGAGTGCCTCTGGACAGAAGAAGATCTTAAAGTTTTCTGTTGCTGTAGTATTAATAGGTTCACATCCTGACTTATGCTTCCTAAAGGACCAAGGCCAGGGCATAGGCCATAAATCAAATGAACCGATTACTTGCAAAGGTAATCCCATTGAAATCGACCCATATACTTATGAGTGCACAAAGGAACCTAACCTTTTTGCATTAGGTCCACTGGTTGGAGACAATTTTGTACGCTTTTTAAAAGGGGGGGCACTGGGCATTACACAGTGCTTGGCTGCAAAGATGAAGAAAAGGCATCAGCTGCTAGTTGAAAGAGATGGAATACCCTAGAACAAACAGCCATAGACCTCATGCAAAGAACCTCAGACATAATGCTAACAAGTCATCTTTTAACATCTACAGTTACTAGCAGCCTTGTTTTTGTTATATATTCCACTCCTTCGTGCTTGCATTGCCTCATAGAAGAGGATGATATTCCAGCCTTTGCAAAGTGCAGAAGTACTGCCTGTTTTTTTCTGGACTTACTTCCAGTTAAAGTAATAATTATGATTACTCATTTGGATTTGTTTTGGTTTCTTACCCTACTGAGAGCAAATTTAGCACTTGAACAAAAAAGGGTTGCTTCCATTAGCTTAGTGTTTTATTATATAAAACTAGACCAAAATCTAAATTTTCCCATAAAATGAAGCAAAATATTCACCAATTTGTTTGTAGCAAAACCTTTTATTTAACTGGGGTCATTGTGGCAATTATATCGGATGCCTTTTAAGTGGCCTATAAAATAAAGGTTTCTTTTCCTGAGTGGAAATCAAAGTGTATCCTAGATACTGCTTCTATTGATAATTGAAAACAGTTGTCATAAAAATGCTGTCTTACTATGTCAAAGGAATGGTGCATTGATTTTGGCTTCTACTATTAAAATAGTATAAACTGAAGTGCTGTTACAAGTGCACTTACTACATTATTATGAAAGATGCAGTGTTTTTCAAACATTAATGGAGTGTATCTTGTAGTACACTTCATACCGAAATAATGAAAATAGGGTATAATGGAAACCTTCACCTGTGTGTTGCCAGTGTCTCAGAAGCTAAAATATGCCTAATTTTCAGGGCCCCAGTTAATGAAAACACATACAACTATCCAAAGCAAGATAACACAGAGATTTCAACCTCATTATCCAAAGCCCATTCAAACAGGGAACAACCTAGAATTTCTTGCAGATTTTTATTACTGCAGACTCGCAATAACTCCCAAAGTGAAAAGCAGAATTAGCTTGTTAGGTTGAGCATTCGAAAAAAGCAATGTGTTGTTCCCTTACATACTCCAAAGTGACTTTTGGCGAATCAAGTCCATAGTTAAGCTCTGGAGCATGATTGATTTGAATGGATATGAACCAGATTAAAAAATTTATATGGATGTACTTACAGGCTGCAATCCCTGTGAATACATGTCAAGTGTGCATGCAAATCATATTTTTCCCCAATCCCTTCCCCCTCAAATACTTTTTAAAACAGGGCACTGGTTCTATTAAACCTTAAATGTATGTGAACAAATGAGCAAGCATGGGAAAGTGAGCAAAACATAATTTAACAGCAATGTGTTACTTTTATAGAAATAAAAATAAGGATGTAAATAACTCAAAAAGGTGGAAGATGCTTAATTCAGATTTCCCTCCTCCCCCTTTTGTATTGCAAAGCGCAGAAGATAGTAGCTCTCGGTTCAAGTTGCATGTGAGATTAAAAGGATATTCAGTATTTTTGATGTCAGATACTTATTTTCATTTTGCAGATTTGCATTCTTTCCATTTCAGCAGCTGAGTATAACTAAAACCGAAGTTCATACAGAGAATTTCAAGGTTTGCCAACATGTTTTCAATAAAAATATGGCATTCCTGGAGTTGCCTTTTCTCTCTGTTATGCACACCTAACGCTGTTTCTCTCTAGATGCCTACACTTTGTGCCTCACAAATGGAATCAGAATTACGAAAGTTACATTTGCAAACTCAGGTTCATGGCCCCAAAGTGAGGCACTCAAGAGTCAAATTCATAGTAAGCCAAAGAGGTGATTCACTGTGTGCAAAAACATATTGCTTATAACACAATTTTACTTTGGTTTTTCACCCAAAACAAAAAATAAAATCCCTTTTAAGTAACACACCATTTAACTCCTGGGTAGTTTAAAATGCAGATTGGAAGTTGGTGAGGGTGTTCCCAAGATCAAGATTAAAATTTACAATGATGATGATTCAAATATGTCATTAGATGTGTGAAAGTATACAAATCATAACCACTGTGTCATTTCAAAACATTGCAAAGTAATTTAATAATGCAAAGAATGAGAAAGTTTTTTCGGAGCTAATTCTTACAGTATTGTTAGCTGCTTTAGTTGCCATAATTAAGATTGCATAGTGATTAACATCTCCTTTTAAAAATATGTTGCTAGTGCACAAAGAATGACATACTTCTCAAGCAAGGAGGAATGTATATTATTTAACTTGGTTGGTCTGAATCATCTATGGGTTTTGAATGTTGTTTCATTAGACTTTACAATAAACCATATTAATGCCCACGAGTTGCTGACATACGTTGTTTCGCTTAAAAAAAAACCCCAAACAAACAACTCCATGACATCAGAAAGCAGTCAGTGCCTCTTCAGGTAAGCAGGATAATGAATCTTTTTAAGTTTTATGTGATAGATGCTCAACTGATTTATTATGAGTATGTTTATTCTCTCTGCAAAAGAGTCTCAAAGCAGTTCACAGGAAAAGTAAACAATTTAAAATCTAGAAATAAATGAAACTTAAAATAGAATTAAATATTAATGGTATTAAAAAATTTAAAAATTAAAACCGATTGAGGACTAGCTTGACAGAAATCCGGAATGCCACTTGGATGTTCTGAGATCCTCTGTAAACTATCCAATACCATTTGACATGCAGGGGAAATGAATTCTGTTTGATAATTAGAATTCCATTTTGCAATGGAATGACTTTAGGAGTGACTTTATTACCTTTATTGGGGCTGTTGGTCATTCCAATATAATGTTCAGGTTGCATAATTCTATTTACTTTGTTACTTGGAAAGATGACCACTCTGTTCTATATAGAGTAGCTTCTGGAAGCTATATAGAATACAGAGTGAGGATTTCCTGTGGCCTCCATCTTTTAATCTTAAAATTTTGTTATTATTATTAAAGCTGAGGTATTTCTATGTTTCAGTTCTGCAGATGTCAGATTGTGCATTCATGGCAGTTGCTGACAAAGCATATAAGCAGCCCACCTTAGCCTAGAACAGATAGAATATGCCATTCCCTTTTTACCGTATTTGGAGGAGTTTACTGTTAATGTTTTAGATCAAAAGTGAACAATTGGCCTTTCAAATGGTTTTCACCAATTCTCACTAGGCGCAAGCAGCATGGCCAATTGTGGATTATGGGAGATGCAGCTGAGAGGGGGTGACTGTGACCCAACCCATTTTAGAGGCCATCTGAAATAGGTAATTTCTGACCTATCAGTAGCTGCTTTTTGTGTGACTCAGCCACACTATATTGCCGTAGAAGTTGGCATACACCAGCCAAGGAGCACATTTTCATAATTAACTAAAGTACAATGAAAAGGCTAGGATTTGCAAATACAGAGACAAGAAAGAAAAATGACTTCTTTGATTCTCACTTTAATGCCAGTTTTGCAACTGATAAAGCAGCTTGAAGGAGTTATGTTACATGAGCCTCATTAATCTCATGCTGTTAAATCTCAGCCTTGGATTTTGTGCACTGTCTGATGCTATTGCTAAGCTTCTCTTGTTTTCTAAGGTGCTTTGGTATAAAATTAAAGCTGACCAAATGTTGCTAAGCTGGAGGTAATTTTGAAAGGTAAACTTGAAAGTGTTGAATAAATGTTTAGACAATACAGTTCTTTCTCTTTATTGATTGCTGTGGTACCAAAAATGTGGACGTGCTTTTTTGCATGTAGAAATTAAACTGGTCAGAAAAGCTGTTGATTACCTCTGGTATTTTTAGAAAGAGTTGGCATTTTAAATATGTCGTTCCCTATTCTAATTGCAGCTCACTCTTTTCAGGCAATCTTGCTGCATTAATTTAGTTTGTGTGAAAATGAAAGTTATGTGCATTTTCTTGAGACCCAATTAAGCCTAAAGGGAATATGACGTCTTTAAACTACCTAGTTCAAAGAATCTTTCATGGGAGGCTTTACCACTTGCCTCTTAACAGGAAAGGTTATGCAGATATATAACCATTGAGAGAATCTTTAAGGATTATGGAATTAAAAATGTTTAGAGAGATTTCAAAGCTAGAGTTTTAATAAGCCTTGTGGAGAGTAAAGTGGACTATAAATAAACAATGACAATAACAACAACCCGTTACAGATGGGTTTTATTTAATAATCCTTTCCCAGTCCAAACCTTAGAATTTAAAGAATAAGCCAAGCCCTGTAGCCAGAATAACAGTCTAAGGCTTGTTGTATTTCTTGACACTTGGTGTTAAAAACTATCAGTGAGAGCAAATGAATAGGATAGCAGATTCTTAGTTTCTACGGTGAGATTTGAGATCTAGGCTAATCCCAACTAGAGAAATTCTGCTGAATCACTTGCTGAATGGGAAGTCTGTGCTTATGTAAGGGGCTAGTCTAACCGGGAATTCATTTAGTTTTTTGTACTACAGATATTTATGCAGAGGCAGCTGAAACCGTCTCATCACACAATTCTATATTAATAGTTTCATTTATTTATTTTTAAAAATAGATATGGCAGAAACAACCTTGCCAATCTCTCTGAGTTGAGAATAGCTTTAAAAACATAATTAAACCTAAACATAGTCAACTATATGTGAAAGCAAAAACTGTACTTTTCATTAAGGTTAAAGGAAAATAAATCTCTTACTGAACATGTTATTTCAAAATGCAGATGAAAATTTTGCCATGTCAATCTATGCTGGTTGAGGGATTTTTGGAACTGCAATCAGAAAATTTCCAAGCTCTGGCGAATACATACATTTTCCCACAGAAACACTGCTCAGTGATTTGAAGGGAGAGTTCAACTTATTTAGCTTAAAACTGTAGACTTTTCAGATTTGAATAGTAATTCTAGCATCTCACATAATGGGTCAGTTTCTGGTTATGTTAAAATCAAAAACCACAAAACTGGAGCTTATTTTAATGGCCATATGAGTTCTGTTATATGCAATAGCTATGCTTTTAGTCCTAGAAAAAGGCAATGTGAATACTTGGCATTACTTTCCAAATATTCTATGTAAAATCCTGTAGAATGGTGATCTTGCTAACCATTACCCAACTGATTTTAGTGCATACTTACGGAAAACTTGGCTTTTACTAGAAAAGGAAGGAAACCTGATTACTTCCTTTCTCATGGTTTTGAAAGAGAACACTCTGTATAGTTTACATCACAGAAAACTGTAGATATGGTTTCAACAGATAAGAGTTAGTGCAGAATGTTTCTGTAGACTTTAGCAGCTCACATAGTTACAAGTCTCTTCATCATTTCCTTTGTTTCCTCATGATTACCAATAAATATTATAACCTGGGATGTAGCTACCCCCCACACCCAAGAAAATAACATTTGATATGAATCAGAAGCATCTCAGTAGCATCAATTACCACTTGAAAAGTGATTCATGTGGATTCCTTTTAAGTCATGGAGAAACAGAGTTGCCCATTCTACGGAATTAATGCTTGAACATTGAATGTGCATGCACTCAGCAGCCATAGCACACATATTCCAAGTATTCAGACATATATTTCCATCTATTTTTAGTAGTTACCACAGGTAAAACCCTTCCATGCAACTTGGAGAAATGCAATAAAGAAAAACAATATGGCTTTTCTTAATCTGAAGGTTCTCTGTGGGTAAAAAGCAACAAAGGCAAAACACTTGAAAAGCTTCAAGTGCACCTGTCACTCATCAAAGTTCCTTATGATTGACACAGACCTTAGAAATAGTTTCCATAATACATAAGTATTTGTACTTTATGCTAGTCTACATTTTGCAAAAGAAGCACTTTCATGGTTAATGGAAGTGTTTCTCAGCCTGTTAGCATTTGCATCAGAACCAAAAAGCTGCCTTATACTGAATATACTGATCTATTTTATCCAGTAATGTCAAGTCAAACTGGCAGCTATGCTTTCTAGTCTGTCGGGCAGGATTATTTTCTGATCCTGCCTGGAGATCTCTTGTATTATTTAATTATTTCCTATACAAGTGCATATCAGGGATGACTGTTTAAATTCTGAAATCAGAAAAGATTAAGCATATTCAGGGATATCTAGTTACTCTGACCACTGGTTATTATTACCAATGTTCCCATGAAGGTTTTTAAGGAATACTTTGCTGAATACCTCCAAATGAAAGATATTTTCTTCTTCTCTTCAAGAAAAGGGGGTGTACTAAAGTGCACTGTGGAATAAAATTCCCTACGAATATTATTTATTCCATACTTTTGCTAGACAAACAAGACAGCTTTTGGAGGTAGAATCGACAGCAAGCATGGAAAGATGTTTATTCTATTGACATGATACTTCAGATTTTTAAGCCAAATAAGATACAGGATCTATACCACCTTTTTCACAGATGTGCTGAACTTTTTCTAAATTAAGAACATACCGTAAATAAGATACAGGGGAAGAAATAGACCTGGGCTTAATTTCTGCAGGCATAAACAGAACTATGATAGCTTTGGACCTGAGCTAGCATACTTTAAAAATGGATTAGAAACCCATCAAATAGGACAATTTTATCTTTCTCTTTCAGTTCCTCTTGATTTCACATTATTTGATTTTTGTTAGCATCAAAACTGGAGAACCAAAGACTACAAGAAAGTATTTCCCATCCATTTATCAGCTATTAGGAATTGTGGGAGGTAGAGTCCAAAACACCTGGAGGTCCAAAATTTGCCCATGTCTGATTTAGAGACTAATACAGCTCTATTAAGTGAGGGGAAAAGCTAATCTAAAAGGTCCAAAGCAATGCAGGCGAAAAATTATAGAAGCCATGCTACAAAATCCACGTTAGCTTTTTATAAAATGTCAACACTTATATAATGTGTAAATTATACCACAAAAGGGTTAAAACAAATCCTTTTTAAAAGAAGCAATGTAATCTCATTTTCTTTTATAAAAGAAAATTGCACGTAGAACAATGCTGCTAAAAGGCAGCCAAATGTCCTTTCTTCATAATGAAAAACAGATTTTTCAGCAGCAAGGAGGTCAAGAAATACTTTCTTCGCTGCAGATCTATTTCAAGGAACAACTATCTTCTTTTTATACGGGGTTCATATCTATAAAGAGAAAAAGGATAAAATTTATGCACATGGTAAGTACCAAGGWTTGAAACCAAAAGTGAAATGAACTGTGATGTCTTCATTTATATAAAAAGTTWTATTTCAACTCGCAAAAGATCCCCAACACAATGAATAATACTGTTATAAAAGAGCAATAAAATTACAAAAAAAAATAAAGAATATAATTTGAAGTTATTGCAAGGTTGAAGGGGAGGCCAGGGGAGGAAGGGCATGTAGGACTCTCTGAAGGTATAATAAATAATAATAAAACTTTATTTATACCCTGCCACCATCTTCCAAAAAGGACTTACAGAAGCACATACAAGTGCCATAAACACCTAAATTACAGGTAAAATCACAGCATTGTATTAAACACTGTCAATATTAGTTCACATAAAAGCTAGGATATAAATATAATAAAATTATAATGGAAGAGCTTGTTAATAGTGAATCAGTGATGATGGGCTTTGGGAGTTGGATTAGATGGTCTTTGCAGTCCCTTCCGACTCAGGATGCTATTATTCTCATTGAAGTATATTGCATTTACACATTACAATATAACTCAGATGGAGGATGACACAAGTATGAAGAAGCAATGTATGAAGAAGCAATTTTAAAACTGAGATAATACCACAGATGTGAAGTAGTCTACATCACTGACTTCTAAACTCTGAAATTCTTAAGAGGTTGAACTCGAGACTCCTTCCTACTGTAGGAATCTGCTTGACACTTACATTCTTCATGTCATATCTGGAAAAGGGGATGCTGGTAGGGACCAAAGATGGGATTTTCTGTGCACCAGCACTTTGGTTTAGGGAATGCCTTTCGCAAAAATATTAAGTACGATAATGTGGGGATTTTGTGAATGAAGAGCCTTCAGAAAAATATTGATGCATTATCTCACGCAACAAGCAGTCACTTGTTGCGTGAGAAAAAAGGAAGGTCCTCACCTGAAAAGGTCATCTGCAAGTGATTCCTCTCTCTCATGACGAGTCTGTTCCTAGAAAAATGAAGGTTTAAGAGATTCAGCCAAGGATGACATTTTCATACAAACATAACATAGATGTGCTCAATTGTAAATATGACTGTTCTCCATCCAATAGTGCAATGGTTCTCAACCTGGGGTCCCCAGATATTTTTGGCCTACAACTCCCAGAAATCCCAGTCAGTTTACCAGCTGTTAGGATTTCTGGGAGTTGAAGGCCAAAAACATCTGGGGACCTCAGGTTGAGAACCACTGCAATAGCGCAAAAGTATAAGAATGGTTACCTCAATGGAATGTTGCACACCTACCCAAGATGAATGCCCCATCCCTTCTTTCTATTGCAGATCCCTAATATGAACAACGTTCCTCATATCAAATTCTACATTCTAGGATTAGGACCTCTCACTTTTGCAAACTATCAGATTGCACATTCTAGGATAAAGATTCCCAAAAAACACTTCCAAGTCTCCTTTCTCTTAAAGGAAAGGGGTATTTTAGATATGCTACAAACTATTCAGAAGTGAGAGCGCAAGTATTCATTACCTCCATTTCTTGCTTCAGCCATTCTTCCATCTCAGAATCCTTTCTAGAATGCGCAGCTATCAGATCTGATCCC